GAAAGGATGGTTATAGTTTTTATTCATACCGAACACTTAGCAAAGATCAGTTTTGCATCTTCTTTGGGGAAATGTGTAAGACTTCATGAGGGAAGAACCATTAGCAGATTCATTACTTAGGATTCTTTTTACATTTCCACTGCTTCCTCGTCATTAAAGTCATTAGTGATAATTTGGGTAAGTTACGTCTTTAAATTTAACGTGTCTTGTATTTCTTAGCTTTGTCTCAGACCAAGTCATTTTCATCTTCTGATTTCTCTAATCTGATCATGGAATAGGTTGTAAATGATCAGGTAATTATCCTTCCAAAATACATGAGTTTATCTGTTCGTCCTTCTTAGAATAACATTTCTCTTTTGTGTTTTATTTTCTCTATGGTCTAATAAATTTTCCTTGCGGTAACTTGGAAGATTCTTTTGCTAGGCCTGTAAAAGTAAATAAAGTTTAGTTCCTACTAGAGTAAACATAGATTAAACTCTCTAAAATATCTATGGAACTTCTTAATTCAGAGTATACAACAGCATCAGATCTGATCAAATATTCAAAAGTGGATAAAAGTTTTAGAGTTTCTTCCTTAACTTTTCTAGGACTTAAAATACACTGTTTAATACAGTGTACTTTTTTAAGTTTTTAAAAAACTGGCCTCAAATGCAAATGAGATGTTTGCATGTGTGTGTGTATAATATTTTTGTTTTGACTCTTAACGCCTTTGGCTATGTGCCTTTATAAAATTTTAGTTTAGTTATCAATTACTGGGCAGTTTTCAGAATAAGTTAATACAGTCCGAAGAAAACATTATTTAGCTTGAGTTTTGGGGCATAAAATACATGTAGTATTCAAATTTTTTAAAATACAAAGACTCATCAGTCCAAATGTTTTCAATATACATGTAAAGTAGCTTTTTTCTTTGGGTTGGACATGGTCGGTACAGATAGAATGTACACTATTTATTCCGCAAACATGTATCAAGGGTTTTCTAAGTGCCAGACATTGGAATTACAGAGGTAGAAGATATGTCCCCTATCCTCAGAGAGAGCATTGTCTAGCAAAGGAGTTGACAAGTAAGCAGATAATCTTAGTGCAGTGCCTTGAAAGACATAAGCACTGGGGTGGGGATCCTAAGCGAGCTGTCTCCATCCAGGGCAGGTAGACCTGCAGTGGTTGGGAGAGGTCTCCGATGGGATGACA